TTATATTTATATTATATTTATATTATATTTATATTTATATTTATATTTATGGTTATATATATATGTATTTGTTCTCGCATACTTTTACCATGTCGTGGGAGGAAAGCCTTCAGCCAGTTCTGGCTCCAGCTGTTGCATGGACACTTTGAAGCGGTAACACTCCGCTCGTGTAGCACATGTATTTCGCGGTGAAGGCACTGGGTGCTTTGGAAAGTACGGGGGGTTGGGATAGGTTTGCAGACCGATAACAGTAACTTGTATGCCGCCGTAGCTGCTTCGAGTTACAAGCAAGAGAACTGATATGCCTTGCGATTTTGATACAGACTGCCCCGATGGAAGCATCGGTTGCATTCTTTTCTACAATGGGTGCAGCTTGCCAGCACAAGGTCGCCACGGTGTCCTGAGCACTTTCGTTTGGGCAGCTCTGCAGAGCCCAGGCGAGAAAGACGTGGCAATCAACTACACGCTCATCCTGGCACAGGTGGGCCACCGAACCGAACCTCCAAACTGTAACCTGGTTGCTGAGAAACGAGGCACCTGCTTTTTACAAATGCGCCGGTGTCTACAGTCTGGTGATCTTTGTCTTCTACGCAGCTTTCCAGGCGGCCGGGACATTCTGGGGAAAATAGGTTTGACACCATGCCTGTGCAGGCACATGTGACTTCATGTCAGGTGCTTCTATGCGTGTTGGTTCACTGCTCCGGCGCGCTTCAGACGCGTTGTGATTGCAACAAGTTAGGCACCTGTTTCCTGGCATGCGGCCGAGGTCTCAGTAGTGTGGTGCGCGATGCTCGGGTACTGCCTCACAGTGGTGGTAAGAAAGGCCGGGTTATATCACGGCATGACTCCATCATGACCCGACATGTCGGAGAAGATCGAAGAACGCACAATGTTGCAACCTGCAACTCACAACATGTCTTGGCTCTGTGATCCAGATCTGCCGCTGCATGGCATGAAGTGCGTCCAACCACATTCAACAGCCTACCTGTTTATGTACTTCATTCTCAAGCCTTAATTTTCTGGTGGCTGGTGGGTTTGAGATTGAAGCTTGACCATTAAGGAGATCCTTGAAGTATTTCTTTGCAGTGGTCACAGAACACTCACATGAAACTCTTGGAGGCGAAGCATACTCCAGTGGCATGCCATGGTGACTCTCATGCAGAGTAGTTCTGGTCGCTCGAAGAAGGAGCAGGGCAAGCGCAGCAAACCTGGAGTGGATGTTCGGGGTCCAACCAAACGGCCTGCAAAGCCAGGCAAGGGCCCCAAAGCAACCCCGAAGAAGCGTCCTGCAGCTGCGAAGAAGCGCCCAGCAAAACAGGCCCCGCCGAAGCGCAAAGTGATGCCGGGGAAGCCTAAAAAGCAAGCAAAGCTGCAGAAGCCAATGAAGCGAGCCAGTAAGGAAAAAGCTTTGCCACGAACGCTTGCGAGCGCATTCTCTGCAGTGCTGAAGAGTGTTGACTTGAAGCATCCATATCGAAAAATCCTTTACATCATGCGTGGACCCCCTGCATGTGGGAAGAGCACCGTGGCACGGAAGCTGCTTGCCAAGCATCTGAGTACGCAGGGCGTTCGATGGAACCCAGCTACGTCCATGGCCGCTTTCTCGCCTGTTTGTCGAGCATTTGTGTGTTCCACCGATGATTGGTTCACACAGGTGGACGAATCTGGAGGAACGGACTACAAGTGGGACCCGCGTCGCCTTGGAGAGCTGCACCAGAAGAACCAGAGTCGCTGCGAAGAGAGCATGATGCTCAGCCGGACGCCGTTGTTCGTGGACAACACCAACATGTCTCTGTGGGAGATGGCGGTCTATGCTCAATTGGCTGCAAAACACGCCTACACTGTCATGATTATCGGGCCAGAACAGCTTGGACAGGGTGCGCTTGACGTTGCCGAGCTTCTGCGACGTTGCCGGAAAGGTGCCGGCAGAGCCCAGGGGAAGGAGATACCGGAATCAACGTTGGAGCGCATGGTCGGCAATTATCAGAAGCTACCGGATGGTGTCCAGGGGCGATATTGGGCCCCTGATGCAGCGGAGCTGGAAGTCGTCAGGGATGCGAAGCGGCCGCCACCGCCACCGAGATTCCGATATGCAGGCTTAGACGTTGAGGACAAACTCTTGGAGGCCTTGTCCGAAATGGAGCTTCCACAGCAGTTCTGGGAAGGCTCAGGAGCGGAGATTCCCGCAGAAGGCCAGCGACACTTGCTTGCTGCCCGTGGGATGAGCTGCTGGCAGAAGCCGGACCGCCTGCACATTACAGTTAGCTACTTCGGGAAAGACGCGGCTGGCAAGGAGGCGGCAGAGAAGCTAGTTGGCAAGTGCTTTGCTGTGAAGGTGACAAGTGTTGTCTTCATTTGCGGTGGAGGCCTTCTCTGTGCAACCTGTCAGTTCCAAGAAGAAGACCATGCAACATTTGCCGAACTGGCAGGTGAAGGTTGGCGTCCACACATCACTCTACTCTACAGCGGAAACTGGCGGGCCAAGAACTCCAAAGATGTTATAGAAGCAGTCGAAGCAGCCTTGAAACGTGCGACGGCCACCGATGTCACTGCACCAGATGCCAGCAGAGCTGAAGCAGACGAGACTGACGAGACACAGCTAGACGATGCAACTCAGACTGACAACGACGGACAGGCACCGTCAAATGTCCTGTGCGAGCAAGGCAGCTTAAAAGAAGCCACAAGAGGCGCGGTCCCGGAAAAGCAGGCCGATGCAAAGTTGGATGGCAGCTCTGCTGCCTTGGACGTGCTGCGCGGCCTTGAGGTATGTGAGCAGTCGGTGGATCTGGGTATGGCCAAGTTCCCACCCATCGACCTTGGACCGTGTGAGTTTCGCTTGTTCCAGTATTAGCAGCGGCTCCCAAAAAAGGTTCTGCAGCGCTGCGCATCGTTGGAGCACATGGCTCCCTCTCCCCCTCTCTTTCTCTCTCATTCTCTCCTCCCTCTCCTCTCGCGCTCTCGCCGCTCGCTCGCTCGGTCTCTCTGCTCCACGGCTCTTCCGCAGGACACCCCGGACAAGGATGTTCAGATGATCTGGGCCGTGGCCATCTCGGCCTTACTGGACGTGATTGCGCTCGTCTATTATGCCTTCATCTTAGGCATCTGGGGATCGCGCGGGGCCACGTAGCCCATCCTCTCCAGGGGGGTTTCTTGCACTCAAGGCTGTGTCCGCTCCATGGTTGACCACGTTGGCGCACGCTTGTGCCCTCGGGATGGGCTCCTGGCTGAGATCCCACGCAAGTGCCAACCTGGTGTTGTCAGTGTTGATTGGCTGTCCTTCCATTCCTGCAGTGCAAAATGATCTAGGGCAAGTCGTTCCATGCGCTTAGCTAGCCAAGATGCGGGGGACAATGAAAAGCATGGCACGGCAGGGCTAACTTCATAACATCATGGCCGGTCTCAATGCAAACCTGACGATCGAAAGCGACTGCCAGTCGGACCGAGGTGCTTTGACGTCCTTCCTCCGACCCAGACCGACGTCTACCCGGGCATCGGCATTGCTTTGTCCAGCCTCGTCTGAGCACACCACTGGCCATCTAGGGAGAGGTTGAGACTGAATCCCTCATTGTGTGGGCCAGAGCTGGACGTCATCCATGTCAACATGGACTTCTTGGCAGAGCCGCGACCGGGAAGATGTTGGCCTAGCAGGCGATCCTGTCGGACATGCATGGCTCTCGCCACAACAGCCTCGACGAGGTTATCTTGTTGGCCTCGTGCAGTGCCGTTCTGGCTGAAAAGTGAATAATGCTCTGCTGCAGCTGGAATTGGCCAAGACTCGTAGATGTTCTGTGATGTCGTGTCCGGCCAGGCTCGAAATGTTGAATACAAGAGCATGACAAGCTCTACAAGTGGGAGGGTTAGGCGTATGTGGTTCCTCTATATGGAAGCAACACTAGCAAGGGATACGGATAGCAACCGCACACGAAGCCACGTGAAAAGCTGAGCCGCTCTGAGGGATCCCAAGCCCATCCGGCGCTGGCCGAACTTGGCCGTGCAGCGTATGCTGGACGCTGCGCTAGGCGCTGATGGCAGACGGGCAGCTCTACCGCGGCGTGCTGCGGAGCTTTTCGGTCAAGGACGGCTACGGCTTCGTCCGTTGCCAGGAGCTGTTTGAGACGTTTGGCCGTGCCTTGGTCAAGATGATCGCGGCAGCAGTGTGCTGGAGTCTGTGACTGTGCCAGATAACGTGTGCCATACAGTGAGTTGCAGATTGCAGAGACGTACCAAGGGGATGTGTATGTCCCGCTGTCGTTGCTTCCTGCCGGCATTTGCTGTGGTGCCCGCGTTATCTTTACGCTTGTTCCGCCCTCAGTGTCATGCGCTGCGGGCCGCAACATGTCGCTTCGCCAACGAGACCTTTTCATGGCATTTCCCGCCGTTGAAGAGGAGGGCCCTTTTTTTTGCTTCCATGTTTATTTCTTTTTGGCCGCGTCCTTGTTTGGAGCAAGTAGGAGCAGTAATAAAAGGTGTGGTAAGTAAAGTATTAGTAGCAGTAGCAGTAGCAGTAGTAGCAGTAGTAGCAGTAGTAGCAGTAGTAGCAGTAGTAGCAGTAGTAGCAGTAGAAGTAGAAGTAGAAGTAGAAGTAGTAGTAGTAGTAGTAGTAGTAGCAGCAGCAGCAGCAGCAGACGTCGAAGAAGTGGTCCAAGTAGTGGAAGTCGTATAGTTGCAGAAGTCGTAGAAGTGGG